CGACAGGCTGACCGCGCCTCCTGTGGGTGGGCCCTAGTGGGTGATCAGTGGCTTCAGGGTCCCTTCACGTGCATGCACAGCCCACCCTGTGCCCCATGTGGTGCATGGGCTGCTAGCACCCACCAGGTCCCCGCACCCCCAGCCCCCTGCTCTCCGTGCCTGAGGACGACTGTCCTGATGGTGGGAGGTTAACCTGCACTTCCTGTGACCCACCCTGGGGACCTGCCGACGCCTGCCTCCGCTGCTGTGTGGCCCTCTGAGAGCAGTTCCAGGGCACGTCGGCTCACCGTGGTGTCCACTGTCCTGTCCTAGAACTCCGAGGGGGATGCGCAGACGCTGACAGAAGTGGACCTCTTCATCTCCACCCAGAGGATCAAGGTGTTAAATGCAGACACGCAGGTGAGGGTCGGCATGGCACAGCCCACAGTCCTGCCCACCACGGCATAGGCCCCGTCCCCCACAGGGCGTCCACTCATCGCACGCCCCGGCCTCATGCGCAGCGCCTGCCCTGGACGCTGTAGGAGCTTGGGGAGCCCAGCCAGTGCAAATGGGTGTCCTGGTCTGGGGACGGGCAGCAGGACTGGGGTGTCCTGGTCTGGGGACGGGCAGCAGGACCTGGACTGTCCTGTTCTGGGGACGGGCATCAGGGCCTGACTCAGTCCCCGGGCTCCTCTGCCACGCCCGGCCCTGCCTGTGAGCTCGTCATACATCCCAAGATAAGCTGCAGCTGCCCCTGCTCTCCTGCCTGTTCCCCTCCTGGGGCCTTCACCGGCATCTCAGCCTCACGGGGTTCCCCAGCCTGCCCGAGACTTGTGCACCGCTGAGTCCCAGCTAAGGGCAGGTGTCCCGTGGACACCTAGGCCCACGTGGTTGGTGGCACATCTGCCCTTCGGGGGAGCTTGAGTGGCCTCAGGGCAGGTCTTGGGGTGCTCTCTGCCAGAGGGAGGGCCCAGGCTAGACCACGCTGCTCGCCCCCTTGGGGTGACCTGGGCTCCCGGGGCAGGGGCTGGCCACACAGGGGTCCCCTCGCCAGGCAGCTATGGGCGCTGTGACGGCCCTTCAATGCTCAGCAGGGCCTGAGTGCTGAGCCGGCTCCCTCGAGAGCTGTGTGGCTGCGGACCGACGTCGGAGCACCTGTGAGAGGCGCCGGGTGGGAGTGGCATGGTGGAGAGTCCACAGGGAGCAAAAGCCTGCAGGGCCAAGGAGCGGGGTCCGTAGAGAACATCACCCCCGGCCGGCTGCGGCTGCCCTCGGGGGGAGGGAAGTCTGGGTCAGACACGTGGGGGTCTCTCCAGAGCCTCCTGTGCCGTGACACCATGTGGGCTCCCTGCGCTCCCGGGGCTGTGGCGGGGTCTGATGGTGCTCTGCTACCACGTGGTCCCTGCGGGGCACCCCTGCCCCAGGGTGCGTTGGGCTGTGGCTTTGCAGGGCGGGTGGGCACTGGGTGGTGGTGGAGGCCCAGCGCCGTGTCTCTGCAGGAGGCCATGATGGACCACGCCCTGCGTACCATCTCCTACATCGCCGACATCGGCACCATCGTGGTGCTCATGGCCCGGCGCCGCACACCACGCTCCGCCTCGCAGGACTGCATCGAGACCACGCCTGGGGCCCAGGAGGGCCGGAAGCAGTACAAGATGGTCTGCCACGTGTTCGAGTCCGAGGACGTGAGTGCAGGGCCCAGGCGCCCAGCCCTCGCCGCCCCACGGGTCTCGCCCGGTTCCTGCCGCCTCGAGAAACGGCTCTCTGGGAGCCGCTCCCACTCCGACGTGTGCTCAGGACACCCGCACACAGCCGGCTCCCCGAAATGGCTCACCCTCGCCCCGCTGCCCACATCAGCCGCATGTCCCAGCCGGGCTGTGGTGGCAGGGCCCTCCCGTGGCCTCCCGCTTCCTGATGGAGAGGAGCTCTGCGCCCCGGCTCCTCGGAGGGTGTGGGCATCCCTGTGCAAGCCCTGAGGGGGAAGGGCCAGGCAGCAGGGCCCAGCACTGACCCCGCAGCTGGTCCCCCGGGGACCCTGGAGAGGACAGTACAGCCTTGCTGAGACTGTCACCAGGGGACGATGGTTCCTGCTGTGTCATTCTTGTGTTCTTTTTTGGGGGAAGAAAGTCCCCACAGGGTGGCCTGCCCACCCTCACTCAGCTGGGTCTCGGGCACCTGGCCCCGCGGTGGGTAGGATGGGTCCACCCCTAGGCCTGCTGCCTATGGCCATCGCCACTTTGCGCTTTCTTTGGTGCGACCTCTCGGCCCACACACTGCCCAGGTGGTCCACACGCGGCCAGGCGGTGTCCTGGGGCCCTGACCATGTGGGTGGTGTGGAAGCCGTTGAGGGTGAAGGTGGAGGCGGCCGTCTCTCCGGGAAGAGGCAGACTTGTCCTCAGAACCATGGCCCGCCTCAGGCAAGGCTGCTGGAGGGTGCCTGCAGTCCCGCCACCGTGCGGAGACCCAGGGTGCCCAGGGTGCTGGGGTGTCAGAGACCCGGCACGGGCAGCGGGGAGAGGGCCACGGCACGGAGGCTCCACTCAGGGTGCCGCCAGCAGGGTGCAGTGGAGGGGGACGTTGTGGCCGGGCCACGGAGTGGCGTCCCTGGGCCGCGCCCCGCGCCCCGTCCCAGCCCCACGGCCCCGCAGGCGCAGCTGATCGCGCAGTCCATCGGCCAGGCCTTCAGTGTGGCCTACCAGGAGTTCCTGCGGGCCCACGGCATCGACCCCGAGGACCTGAGCCAGCGGGAGTACAGCGACGTCATCAACACCCAGGAGATGTACAACGACGACCTCGTGCACTTCTCCAACTCCGACAACTGCAAGGAGGTGAGGCCTCGGCCCGGCCGCGCCTGGAGCCCAGCTGCGCGCCCGCGGCCAGGCGGGCCTTGGGAGT